TTTAATAAGATAGTTTTGTAGAGGTTGACTGAACTCTCCCAACTCCTTTACATATTCAGCATACAAGCCAAAAGTATTTTAATACAAAATAACTGCAGGAGATGCCCTTGTACAGAAAATTTTAGTAGAAACAGTGTCCTGAAGAGAAGGGTTTCTGTCAACGAAGTCTCTTAAGAGTCAAACAGAAAAGATAAGAGGAATAACAAAAGTTTTATTTTTCAATACATTTCTTACAAGCATTGCAAGTAGTTGTTATTTACCTTTAAAATTTCCTTTTATAACTTTTGCCATTCTTGAAAATTTTTTGGATATAAAGTGGAAATTTGGCTTACTTCTCCAAAGGATCAATATTGTTTAATTCCAAATTGAAAAGCCAAATAGATTACAACTATATATTCGATAAATACGGTGCTAATAATTTGGACAGGTTCTGGGTTCTAGTAGCAGCAGCAGGTGGCTTAAAATATGAGTCTATAGATAGCAGCAGCACCTGGCTTGAGATACAGATTAGGTCAGGCCAAATATTCCAGAGTCAGTTATATAGTCAGAAAGGAATACTAATATTAAGGCAGCTTTATAGTAGAGATATACAAATATTGTATTTGTTATATAATTTTTATACTTGCCTTGTATGAGTTATACCTTTTTTTTTGTGTTTGTTTTTGTGCTATTTTTGATAGAGTTAGCTGCTATTTCTCACAAGAGATAATATTTTCTTATTCAGCCTGTCTGGGCTTATCTCTTTGTTTTTTTCTTTTTTTATATTTTCTGGTTCTTCTATTTTTATTTTTTATTTTTTCACTTTTTTGTTTTGTTTCTTTTTGTATATGAACTCCTTTTCTTCTTGATGTATGTTCTAATATTAAAAATACAGAACATTTTTTTCTTTTGCTCTTGGTGAAGAAAGTAAAAATGAAGAGATAGGCTCTTGGTGAGCTGACAAGGTCTTCTAACTTACATGTAGTTTGGTGCGACAAGTTGCTCTTAGGCATGCTAGATGTAGCTAGGTAATGTTAGGCTCACAATTGTTATACTGACATTATTCATTTCATCCAAGTTTGTTTAAATAAAGTATTGTATTTGAGCTCCGGCAAGACTGTCAAAAAGCTAAAAAAAAAAATATATTATACTAGCATATTTTATTTTTTATTTCATGAAAATTTAAAAGAAGATACTTTATTTTAGCTTTTTTGATCGAAATCCAAAATTAAATAATAAGAACAGTGTTATTTATCTCCTAATTTTTTTATTAAAGGCTTACTCCCTCTAATTTTAATATATAATTTATCAGGTCTTATATATAAAATTTTAATTTTTAGAAAATCATCTAATAATTGTTAGCTCTCTAAATATTATATTCTTTCTACTTTACACATATCTATCTGTTTTTTAATTTTATATGATAAATTTTTTGTATATAATAATTGGTTTGTAAGCTTTTTTAAACAATGTTTTCTTTGTTTTCTAGTATAAAAATAATAATTATTTTAAAAAATTTATGTAATTTGATTGGTTAATTATTACAGACAATTATGAGTAAATCAACAAAAATTAATCAATTATATAAATGACTTCCTATTACAAATAAATGATACTGAGTAATTATACCAAATAGTTTACAAGCATGTACTAAATCATGAAATTGTACACATATGGTAATATTATGTAATCTTCATATATATAAGTTTTCAAAACAGAATTTCCTTAAATTTTAATCAACTTTTTTTGACAATTAACTAACAGAATCCAATAAAATTTTTTTAAACTCAATTCTACAAATTATTAGAATTTATTTAAAAAACTTTTTATCGAATTCTATCAAGTAGTTGTTGAGAAATTTTGATTCAAAGTTTAAAAATTTTATACTGCCTTCTAAAAAAAATAGTTTTTTAAAAAATTTCTAAATTTAAAATAAAATTTCTTAACAACAATTTAGTAGTAAATTTTTTAAATAGCATCTATGAGTTAATAGGATTTATTTTAAAAAAATACATTGAATTTTAACAAGTGTTTGTTAAAAAAATTTTATTTAAAATTTGAAAAATTTTTACTGCCTCTTAAGAAAATAACTATAACAGAAAATTCTCTAAATTTTAAATAATATTTTCTTGACAACTACTTGATAGAATTTGATAGAAATTTTTTTTAATAAATTCTAATAATTAATAAAACTTATTTAAATTTTTTTTATTGAATTCTACCAAGTAGTTGCCAAGAATTTTTGTTCAAAGTTAGGAAAATTTCTGTTATAATTATTTTTTTAAAAGGTATATAATTTTTTCAAAATTTGAATGAAATTATCTCAACAAACACTTGCAATAAAAATTTTTTAAAATAAGTCTTATTAACTTGTAGATGTTATTTAAAAAAACTTTTATTAAATTCTTTCAGATAGTTGTTGAGAAATTTTCATTAGAAGTTTAGAAATTTTTACAGTTATTTTTTTTAGTAAGTTTCTTCAAACTTTGAATCAAATTTTTTTGATAACTACTTGATAGAATTTGATGAAAAGTTTTTTAAATAAATTCTAATAACTTGTAGAATTGAGTTAAAAAAATTTTCATTAAATTCTGTCAGTTGTTTGTTAAAAAAATTTAATCAAAATTTAAGAAATATTATAATTTTGACAACTTACATATATAAAAATCATGTGATATTACTGTACATGCACAATCATGTGATTTGGTACATGCCTATAGACCATTCATAATTATACACTTTTGGTTGATATACGATAACAAATTATTATGCTTGGTTCGAATTTTTAGCAAATCTAAAATATGTACCAGGTTGTGATTATGTGATAGTCCAGAAATTTTTGAAGGTTTGATTTAACTAGTGTTTTGGGCTAAATTAATTTCTAAAATCTGAAATATTTCAGCAATAAGAAATAATTTCGTCAGTTCGCACTTTTTGAAGTCTAAAAACATTTTGCTAGCATAAAATAATTTCATTTGAGCAAAATATTTCAGATTCGCCTGAAACACTAGATTTAGCTCATAGTTAATTTGTATATTTCTTTTCATTAATTATATACTTTACGCAAATATTACAACACATAATAATATGTATATATTTATGAATATTTAAAAATTTTATATTATTAACAATTTTGTTTGCATATATTAATGTTCTTTGATAAATTATACTTTTTTGGAAGTTTTTCTTTTTTATGTGCTTTCATTAGTTGGGTTGACATTTTCTTGAAAAATTTACACTTTTTCATTGAATTGATGCTGGTAGTACTCAAATTTTTGTTCCACTTCATACTGATTTGGTTTTTATGATAAAGCTTCGTTGATAGTGATAAGCAGCCCATTTGTCCGATAATAAAGATTCAGCTTTTTCATGTTCGTTGCATTGATTTTTGATATTTTTTGAAATTCACTTAGGTAATTAAGGCACCTCTTAGCTGTTTATATCCACATATAAATCCACATTAAGCTATCCAATATTTATTTTTTCATATTTAACCATTGGCTTAAGTTCAATATAATATTTTTTATTATTGAATAGAAATATTTTTTGAAGTGGAGTAGGTAAATCAGACAAGTAAATTAATCAGTTTGTGTTGTTGTTGTTGTTTATTTTTTTTTTATATGAAAAGAAATATGAATCGAAATGTGAAGCGAAATATGGAGCAAAATATAAAGCAAAGTATGAAACAAAATATAAAAGCAAATTATGAAACGAAATATAAAGCAAAGTATGAAGTGAAATATGAAGCAAAGTATGAAGTGAATATGAAATGAAATGTGAAGTGAAATATGAAGCGAAATATAAAGTGAAATATAAATGAAATATATGAGTGTAGTTTATTTAATTAATCGATGATATGATCGTTTGGATTGATTTCCGGACAATCATATGATCGTCCGGAGCACAACCTGGTACACATTTTCGATTTGCGAGTTTAATTGTTTTTTGTCTATTTTTTTTTTTGCTGAAGTAATGACTTTGTGAATATTTACTTACCGACTAATTAAAAATTTCCCTCTGATCTACTGGATAATGTGTCTAAGAACCTCGTAGAGTGCTCTTAAACATCTAAATTAACAGGTTGAAGCTTAATTTTTAAAATGGTTTAGCAGGCCAAGTGAGTTCATTATCTGGATAAAAAAAAAAATAGTAGAGACCTCTTAGGAAATTTTTCGTGTGGTTGGCTGATGTAAATCAATTGGCTGGTAACTTATTTATACATTTTAAAGTACTTTTAAGGACGTAACAGCTCCTAACAAAAAAATCACAGTAAAAACCATTTCTAGCTTTGAAAGAACGTCTATATTCACTGCTGTACTGTGCAAAAATAGTCAGTAACTTCAAGAACTTCACCTAGAAGTGAATACTTTGTTATTTGTTTTTTTTTCTGTTTTATAAATTAATTTGTTTTGATTGGCTACAATCACGTTTTGATCAGCTTTAATTATAATGTCTTCTATGAGTTTAGGATTTAGCTCAGGGTCGCAAACATAAACCTGAGTTACAAGCTGTAAAGGAAAGTAGATCAGCTGGTACTGTATTGCGGTTCTACAGTTCGTATAACAGGTCCTTTTACTGTTTTATTGATGGCGTGTGAACAATTAAGTACTGTTTGTTATTTGTTATTTTGTTATGTTTAAGGTTGTCGATCTATCCAAGATTTAGGCTATGCGGTCGATCGGGATTATTGAAGCCGAAATTCCAGGTGCAGAGTAGGACGTTACGGGTTAGCGACATACTTAATTATGACGATAGTTAAGTATAGAGTACGTATTTTCTTATTTAGGTATTTGGTCGGAGCAAAAGAATTAATTGTTCTTTTATTAGCATGAGCGTCATGTTTATACAATTTCAAATTACGAAGTCTCAAACCACATTCTATAGTCCCAAACCACTATTCGTGGCTCAGAACCAAGATCCGTGGTTCAAAATCGATACACATACAATCTTTCTGCCAAATAGGAAATTTGATAAGAATATGCTAACTATATATAGGCAAATTACTCAAAGAAAAGAGTGGTTCAAAACCAAGATCCGTGGTTCAAAATCAATCTTTCTACCAAATAGGAAAACATTATCATTTTATAAGAATATGCTAACTATATATAGGCAAATAACTCAAAGAAAAGAGTGGTTCAAAATCAATACACATACAATCTTTTTAGCAAATAGGGAAAATTATCATTTGATAAGAATATGCTAACTATATATAGGCGATTACTCAAAGAAAAGAAAAGAAAAAATTTACAAAAGAAAAATAAAAAAGATTTGTAACACCATCTCTTTTTCATAAAATTACGCTGATTGACATCTGCATTCCACAATATGAAATTGCCACGATGATTACTTTCAATTAATCGTAATAATCGTTACTAGTAAGGCTATTCACTCCCAGGGGTCAACCTTTAATTAGGCTCAGACTCAAGATTCATATGACAAAAATGATTATGATTCAATGCAATGCACAGGTAGAACAATAAACCTTTTTTTACAAGTATTCTTTCAAAAAATTTTTGGTGTAATATACTGTATACAACTTTTCGAATATTTTCTATATTATCTAAATTCTTCTGTATCTCTTTCACATGTAATTTAAACGGATGGAAAAAGTTTAGAATATATTTAGAAAAATTGCATATCACACCAAGGATTTTTGAAAGAATACTTGTCGAAAAGATTAATGTTCTACCAGTGATGCGATGTACGTACAGTGCATAATACGCCAAAGCACAAACTTACCCATTAGAGATAATCTAAATTTATCTTCTCAATAAGAAATAATTTGTGCTCAGTAGTGCATGCCATTATATATGATAATTTTGGTTTAATTCAATGAGACATGGTTAATCTTGATACATTGTTTTTTTATGCCAATGAATTGTACTTAAATTTCTGTACATATCAATACAGGAAACCTAAAAACTTTAAACTATTATAAAATTATCGTTCTTAATAGCAATCTACAGTATATTTAATTTTTTGTTTATAATATCGAAATATATGTTGTGCCTCAGATGCATCCTTGCGTCAGATGACATCCGGCCTAAGTTATATTAGGGCTAGTGTAAATTTATGGTAAAGCTAGGAGTTTTTAGGCCAATTATTGTCGATCATTTAATGCGATAGTCATCTAACGTGCGTCAGATGCAAGGTTTTAGTCTGACGCAAAACATTGTTGTATACAATATGAAGATTTACAGTATTATCGAGTCTGAAAATAATTACCACATTTTTAGGACACCAAATTTAATATAGACTAAACTCAAAATAGTCTGAGGCGTGGTGAGTAATTAACATTGGTCTTCGATAATGGGTGATTTATTTAAAATTATTGAGTAGTGATCACAGTTAAAAAGTTTTTTTTTTTTTTTGGACTTGCCTCGCAACTTAATTATTCATCTTTTATTGCTCTAGCCTTTCGATCATCGAGAACCTTCTAAATTCGTAAGGTCCTCGCCATTTAAGGATCCCTCAGCTGAGGCGTTGTCCGACTTTTCCTAATTTAATGTCCCCGAAATTTACTGGAAGTAATCTATGTCCGGAATCCCATCAGAATTTTCCTATTAGGGCGTTTATCTCCAAAGTTCAACAATTTGACTTATTCCTCCGATTTCGGATTCAGTAGAGACTAGGGATGAGTTCGGTTACGACTATAGTCGACTATAGTCGACTATTAGTCGTAGTCGATATTTAGCTGACCGGCTAAAACTGTAGTCAATGCCATTAATGTTTTAGCCAATAAAAATGATAATTAAAACCTGACATGAGACCATATTGGTTGATCTATATCATCAGACAAAATAGAGAAATTCGTCATTCATAATCATGGTCAAATTTGTAGATCATTTGGCCAGATTTACATAAGTAACATATGAGCAACAAAACGTAGTCATGTCATATTAAATGTAGAAAGTTGTATAATATGAAAATTCTTTTAATGTATCATATGTTCAAATATTTCATTACATAATCCACAATCGTCAAAGCAGCCAAACAGATTAAATCTCCATTCTCCAAGACTATCTTCATCGAAGGCACTGTCATTTGTGTGGTTCCTCTATATGCCATTCCTATTTTTTTTCTGTTGGATAATAATAAATTTTCTAATTTTCTAGTATTTTTTTTAATATATAAATAAGTATTAGATTATATGGTGTGTCAATAGAAACCAAGCAAATTGTTTTAGTAAGTTTTTTAAAACTTTAAATTAAATTATCTTAACTATTAAACTAAACTTGATAAAAATTTTTTATTTTAATTCTATATGGTTATAGAATTAATATAAAAAAAAATTTATCAAGTTTTATTTAATAGTTGTTGAGATAATTAATAATTTAAAGTTTTAATAAAACTTACTAAAAGCAATTTGCTTGGTTTCTATTGACGCCCCATATATTTCACATTAACGCAAAAGAATATGTAATGTTACTTGATGGTATTTATCTGTACAAATTAAACCTTAATTTATTTATATATATATTATGTAAAAAATTCTTAGGAAAAATAATGCATGTTGGTATCTTTTTGGATCTTTATATATATGGGGCATCCATAAAATTAAACCAGTACTGCATTGTACATAAATAGAGACCTTGAATATAATATAATTTTGTATTATCTTTAAGATCTCTATAACAATACTGGTTTAATGTAAATTATGGATGCCCCCTATATTGTGGCAACACAACAATGAATTACACTTTTTTTTCCCCATTGTTCAACTGTAAACTTCTTCAATTAACAATTGGGTTTGAATTATTATACTGTAGATTCTTAATTTTTTTTTTTGAATGTAAAGATCTCAAGACAATACAATATGCTTAATGCACATGATTTGTTTTTTATTGTACATACAAAAGCTCAATACGAGTATATGCATTTTAAAAACCCTTTGGAAATTTAGATGTTATACGTATTACTGTTTGACTTTTTGTAAGCTTTATTGAATAGTTAAATGAGTATCTTTAATATATTATCAAAAAACAATTAATTTGACTTTTAGCGTTATTTAAAATATAAAATCTGGTTTAATTTCATAGTATAAATATAATAATAAATAAATAAATATATCAAAAAATTTTGATTTTTTTAAAAAAAATATATTAAAATATTCAAAATTTTAAAAAGAAATTTAAGAGATTTGTAATAAAATTTTGTTTAAAATTTATATAATTTATATTTCAAGTTATAATTAATTAATTGTATAATTTATATTAAAAATAGTTTAACTTTTAAATTTTAATATAGGCCAGTGCAAAAATGTAGATACATGAATACGGTATTGATAAAAAATTTTTTTAAACAACTTAATTTAAGTATTTAAAATTGTAATTTATAACTTTGGTTTTTAAGTTTATTTTAATATAATTTTTATTAACATTTATATTAAAAAAAATTTTTTATTAAAAGACAATTTCCTCGATTTCAAGATCGTTGTCATCACTTTCAACCAATGTAACGTGTTCGTCATATTTCTTATATTTCTTTGCCCTGGTGAGTGATTTTTGCCAAAGATCTGTAATGGTTTTTGAGCTGACCTTTTCAGTAAATGCCTCAAAAGCAGGTTTGGGTGTGAACTTGTCTTTGCAACTGCCCAAATTTCTTTAATCGGTTGAAGTTCGCAGTGATATAGCGGGGTATAAGACAAATTGTGCCCATGTTTATTAGCAATTTAAACATATTTGAATGGCACTTTGTGTTTATTTCTTTTTACTTACTCATATAGCTCAGCTTTGGTACAACTTTCTGATGCAATAATATTGTATGCAGCCAATCATACATGCAGAATATCTTTTTTTGAATTTGTTGTTGGTACTTGTTTAGCTTGGCATTTATGATAGCGAGCCCATCTATATGGATACATACTGGCCCATATTGGTCTTTAATACCTGCGCAAAGTTTTTCAAAAAGGTCTTCAAAAATTTCAGCATTAAAATTGCCATGATAATTGCTTTGATTTGCTACAATATTTGCATTATGAATTGTGTCAGGAATATTTTCTCTTCATTTGCATTTAGCTATTTTCTTCCTTGTGAAGAGGGGGTTTAATAGACAGATCCCATATTAAAAGAGAGTTGGGGACAATTTTGCCTTCAATTTTGTTTATATTACCATTGCGCATTACAATAATTGCGCCAAATATAACTAACAAAGAGCCGTGCCCTGGTGTACAAACAATTCCATATAATGGTATCCATGTAAAATTGGTCATGTAGTTTAAGTGGCAGTAAAATTCATTCAAAAATACTTCTGGTATAACCGGTACACTACTATTTCCTTGCAAATTACTAAAATGCCACCTCAAATAGCAGCCACGAAAAGCCACATTTCCAGCTAACTCATGCAATATATTACAACGTTCACTATACTCGTAAAAATGTTCTAAAACATGTAAAATTCAAAGCAACTGCCATTTTGAAAACCTATAGCCTTTTTCCTCAAGTTTTTGCCACAGCACAGGTGTGGAAAGAGAGAGACCAGCAGAGTTTGCAGACATAACCAAATTGTATATAACTTTGGAAACATTTGGTTTAAGTTCTTTTCTTGGGCAACCAGGTAATTTGGGTGCTTTTAATTGTTTATTTTCACTCTTATTTTCTTTAGCAATTATTCGTACAACTGTAGCCTTGCCAATTTCTAGAACCATGGCAACAAGCTTGCATAGTTGTATATGTTCTAGTTGCTTCTGGCCCCGACGATTCTCCAAAAAGTACTTGTAAGTGCTAAGAATCATCTTTTTTTCATTAAGGGTTATTGCGCCTTTGTCTCTTTTCAAATCATCCATTCTGCTTAAAAAAAAAAAAAATCAACAAAAGATTTAGATTATTAATTACACACTTTTTTTGTAATTTTTATATGCGAATAGATAGATTGTCACATTTTTAATCAGTAAAGTATTTTAGGTACCAATTTTCATGTATCTATATATAGTATGCTATATTTAGTATTATATATAAGAGGCTGACAAGTATTAGTTTATTATACCCTTTCTGGAATTTTGATTTGATATCCCCAGAGTTAGGTATTTGATATATATGTTGTGCTTTAGACTAATGTTGCCTTGGATCACAGCTGACACACCTCAGATGTAGATTGTTAGATGAGGTGCATAACTTATCGATTAGTCATTACTCACAGAAAAAAAAATATGCATAGAATAAAATGTATTATTGAAGTTGAATGTACCGAAAAGACTTAAACAGGAAGAGTATACAGAAAAAATTTAGGAAAAAAAAAAACAACCATATGTATAGAATATTAAATGGAAATAGAGCGCTACGAAAATTTGGGAAAAGAAAAGCATAGGGGTGCTGGATGCTACCAATAAGAAAGACACTGAATAAAAAAAGTGTCCAAGTCAAAAGCCTTTTATTCAATTTATTTTACTCTCTTACTTTCGTCAGATTGCAGTTTA